GGGCAGAGGGCCCTTTGGCTGGGCAGTGGGAGCCCTAGGGATCTTACTTATGCTGGTCATCTTCTCCAGAGAACTGTTTCTTTCCTTTTTTTTTTTTTTTTCCAACACAGAGTTGTCACTAAGGTTGGAGTACAGTGGCGTGATATTGGCCACAATCTCTGCCTCCTGGATCCCAGTGATTCTCCTGCCTCAGCCTCCCACATAGCTGGGATTACAAGTGCCTGCCACCACAGCCAGCTAATTTTTTGTATATTTTGTAGAGACGAAGTTTTGCCATGTTGGCCAGGCTGGTCTCAAACTCCCGACCTCAGGTAATCCACCTGCCTTGGCCTCCCAATGTGCTGGGATTACAGGTGTGAGCCACCACGCCCGGCCGCAGTGAACTGTTTCTTGTATACTGGTTGGTTGTAGCCAAGAGCCGTGGTAGCCTGTTGCCTGGTGTTGCCTTGTTTTTTTGGGTTTTTTTTTGGGTTTTTGTTTGTTTGTTTGTTTGTTTGTTTGCCCCTCATGAACCTGGCCAGGGTTGCTCAATACATCAAGGGCAACCTCGACCAGTTGAGGTATCAGCATCCCCAGTGTCTCTTCTGCTTTTCATAGTTTACCCACATGGCTTGTGCCCCCAGATGCCTGCCACAATTACTCTTCCCATATTAGCCACCCAGCAGCTTAGAGGTGGGGTTGGTGGTGACACAGATCCCACAACTCTTGGCCCACACTCAACTAGTTTAAAAAACTGGGGAGGGGGCGAGCATGGTGGCTCATGCCTGTAATCACCACACTGGGAGGCCAAGGTGAGTGGATCACTCTTGCAGGAGTTCGAGACCAGCTTAGGCAAGATGGTGAACTCCTGTCTCTGTAATATTAGGTTGGTTCAAAAGTAATCGCTGCTTTTGACATTGAAAGTAATGCTAAAAACTGCAATTGCTTTAGCACCAATATAATTTTTTTAAAAATAATGAATTTTCTAAAAATGGGAAGGGGTGGATTTCACTTGGCAAAGCAGGAAATACAGCAGCTGCTCTGGCCTGTGGCTCTGCTGACCACCCAGCGCTTCTCCAGCAGATTCGAACTACCTGAGATTTTGATGAATTCACTGAAAGCAATAGGGACATTGTGTTGAAAAACACAGCAGAAAGGCCAGATTCAGTGGCTCACGCCTGTAATCCCAGCACTTAAGGAGGCTGAAGTGGGCGGATCACTTGCGTTCAGGAGTTTGAGACCAGCCTGGACAACACAAGACCCCATCTCTAAAAAACAAAAACAAAAATTGGCCAGGCGCATGCTTGTAGTTCAGCTCTGCGGGAGGCTGAGGCGGGAGGACTGCTTGAACTCGGAAGCTGGAGGTCGCAGCGAGCCAAGATCAGGCCACTGCGCTCCAGCCTGGGTGACGGAGCCAGACCTTGTCTCAAAAACAAACAAACAAACAAGCAATCCCACTGCAGAAGGCCTTCAGAATTGCTTGCCTCTGTAAACTCTACCTTCCTCAGAACATCTAACCCTTCAAAAACTACGGCAGCAGCCAGAACCCGCCATTCACCCTGATGCATTCCTTTGTGATGAAGACTTTCTTGACTCATTATGTGACGAAGGGAAAATGAGCAGAAACTACTGTGTGGTGTGTGGTTCACGCCAAACAGAACCTTTAGATCAGGCGTCCCCAAACTACGGCCCGCGGGCCGCATGCGGCCCCCTGAGGCCATTTATCCAGCCCCCCGCTGCATTTCAGGGAGGGGCACCTCTTTCATTGGTGGTCAGTGAGAGGAGCACAGTATGTGGCGGCCCTCCAACGGTCTGAGGGACAGTGAACTGGTCCCCCTGTGTAAAAGGTTTGGGGACACCTGCTTTAGATTGATGGCTCATTGCTTCTCCCTCACGGAATTGAAGCTCATTTATCATCATGCACACCTGATCAACCAGGAAAGGTCGCAGCTGACGTCAACTCCAGGCTCAGCACAGTCTTTTTTTTTTTTTTTTTAATACTGTTTCATAATTGAGATTTTATTGGTTGAGGATCAGTACAGACATTTCCATTTGTACGCAATTCTTAACATATGTAACAAAAATCTAAAAAGCCATGTATTGTAATTCTTTTTTAAAGTTATTCCAGTGACTTTCCAGCTTAAAATTTAGATGCAAATTTTCTGTAAGAGGCTATCAAGTACCTGTATCTTCACGTTGATAAGCTGTTACATACATCCCAACAATTCACAACTGAATAGCATGTACACTACATATTCAAATTTTTAATCGTTCACAGCACAGTAACAAAGTTATTAAGAAAACAGGACTACCACACCAAAGATGTTACAGAGTGCACACAATACTGACAGGGAGAGCCACAATCAGAGTGGCTTTCTTTAGGAAACAATTCTACTAAAAAACAACATGGGAATAGAATTTAAAATGTTCAAGACATTAAAATGCAGGACTGACTCCATATTGCCATTTAATATGCTTTGTATTATAGGATATAAAAACTAACCCCCCATCTATGGAATGTTAAGCTGACACCCGAGACAGTCAAAGCCTCCCATTATTCAATATCCCATACTATTTTCTGGTTGTACCAAAAAATAACCAGAAAATGATTTCATCTCTTAAAAAAAAGCATTTACACTTAAAAAATGGGATGAGGTGGGATTCCCTCCTTCTTAAAAATGTTTCTAGAGCTACTAAAAAACTTGCATTTACAAAATAGTTGATAAAAATATTCCTCTGGATTGTACAAGAAGGGAGACAGGGACCACTGGTAAGACATGGTATATGGTATTAATCAGACTTGGCTTCTTTCTCTCCTGCTTCATCAGAGGCTGGACTCTCCTCAGTTTTTGTTTCCCCGTTTTCTGCAGGTAAATCTTCTTTCGTTTCTTGGTTAGCCACTTCAGCCTGTTTTCCCTTTGCTCCCCTTTTCCCTTTTGTTTGCACTTTTTTGTCTGAAGATTTATCCTTCGCTGCTGCCTTTTTCGGCTTCGCTTCCACTTTTGCAGGAGGTTTCGCTGACAACCGCGCGGATCTCCTCTTGGGCTCTTCCTCGGCGGCCCCTTCGGCGGAGCTGACCTTCCTTTTGGGCATCCTGGCGGCGGGGAGGCGCGTGCCGGGTGCCTGCGGGCCGCGGCGCGCCGAAAGCCTTCGCGAAGCTAGGCTGCCTGGCCGCTACCACTCCTCCCGCCGCCCGAGCTGCTCAGCACAGTCTTTACGGGGTGAGCTTATAGTTTAGCGGCACAACGCTGTGGCGTCGAACTGAATGGAGACTTCGGCCAGTTGCAGGAAACGGTCGTTAAGAAATACCAGTTCGCCGGGCGCGGTGGCTCAAGCCTGTAATCCCAGCACTTTGGGAGGCCGAGGCGGGTGGATCACGAGGTCGAGAGATCGAGACCATCCTGGTCAACATGGTGAAACCCCGTCTCTACTAAAAATACAAAAATTAGCTGGGCATGGCGGCACGTGCCTGTAATCCCAGCTACTCGGGAGGCTGAGGCAGGAGAATTGCCTGAACCCAGGAGGCGGAGGTTGCGGTGAGCCGAGATCGCGCCATTGCACTCCAGCCTGGGTAACAAGAGCGAAACTCCGTCTCATTAAAAAAAAAAAAAAAAAAAAAAAAAAAAAAAAAAAAAGAAATACCAGTTCACTCGCAGACTAAAGGTGCTTCAGGCAGACATCTGTTCCCGGGGTTTCCTTCTGCAAAACGCTAATGCTGTTTTCATGAATAAGGTCTTCAAATCTTCTCTTAATGAGACAGAACAGGCCAGCACTGGTCATATGTTAGTCATAACGTAAGGAAGCAGATCATTATAGTGACAGTGCCAAGTCTTGAAGATCTCTCCTGGGTCTTCAGACTAATACACACTTATCTTCTTGGGTTGAAGACGTACTGTGGAACTATGATGTACACCCACAAAGGGATATTGACAAAGAAGCTCTTTTTTTTTTCTTTTGTGATAAGGTCTGACTCTGTCGTCTAGCCTGGAATGCAGCGGTATGATAATGTAACCTGTAGCTCACTGTAACCTCCAACTCCCTGTGCTCAGGTGATCCTCCTGCCTCAGCCTGCTGAGTAGCTGAGGCCACAGGTGTGTGTCACCACCCAACTAATTTTTTTTTTTGAGACAGAGTTTTGCTCATGTCACCCAGGCTGGAGTGCAATGGTGTGATCTCAGTTCAGTGTAACCTCTGCCTCCCGAGATCAAGCGATTCTCCTGCCTCAGCCTCCTGAGTAGCTGGGATTACAGGTGCCCGCCACCACGCCTGGCTAATTTTTGTATTTATTAGAGATGGGGTTTTGCTATGTTGGCCAGGCTGGTCTCAAACTCCTGACCTCAGGTGATCCACTGCCTTGGCCTCCCAAAGCGCTGGGATTACAGGTGTGAGCCACTGCACCCACCCTGATTTTTATTTTTATTTTTGGTAGAGACAGGGTCTCGCTATGTTTCCCAGGGTGATCTTGAACTCCTAGGCTCAAGCGACCTGTCCCCCTCGGCTTCCCAAAGTATTGGGATTACAGGTGTGAGCCAATGCACCCAGCTGACAAAGAAGCTCTTGTACAAATTCATTTTATCAGATTCTCTAGCACTAAAATAGTCCTACCTCACTGTAATGTTCTGTACAGTATCTCATAAAATAATGAAAAAAAACCCCAATATTTTAATACCTATTTTTCTGTATATTTCCTTCTAGCCTTTGTACATATGATAACATATTTGTAAGTAGTTGCGTGTGTATATATACAGCCTTGCCCGCTTTGTGTGATAATACATTTATCTGAAAAAAATACTTTTTGCATCAAATGGCAGAGCTCCTGCTTCTGGTGACCCAGGGTATGGCAAGGGGGCTCTGGGAGACGTGGCTCAGCCTCCTGTGAAAAAATCTGTCTCTCTAAAAAAGAATGAATTCCCCAAACCAGTCCCACTGTTGTCTAACCAGATGCCAGCTGCCCTTGGCCTGGCGGGAGGTGTGTCTCGATCCCCCCAGAGCCAGAAACAGAAACCGAAACCAGAGCTGCACCAAGCCGAAGTCTAGAGATCCCACAGCTAGATCCAGAGAATTTTCCCAGCTCGTCAACCCACGGGCAAAGTCCACTTTCTTCCCTGAGGGAGCAGCACCCAACAACTCAGCAGAAGGTCCAGGCTGCTGCTTCTGAGCTTTTGGGGTGGTGCTGAGTGACGGCCCCGCGGACCACGCGCCAAGCAGATCCCAGGGACTCACCCTCGACCCTCTGGGACCACGTGGGTGAGTTCCCCCTGGGTGAGGTGCCACTGCCCACTGCTTTGCCCTAGTGAGCCTCAGGGAGTTAGGACCAGAACCCCAGTCGGCCTCATCTGGTCGCCAGAGTTTTGTTACCCACACAACAGGTGGGCTCAGTTGCTTGGCGAGTGTCAACTAAGGAGGATTTAGCAGGAGATTTTATTTCTTGCAACAAGTAAGGAGAACACCGAGACAGCTCCCGAAGCGGTGTCTCCCCGAGCGGAGGGCTGTGGCAAGTTTTATAAGCATAGTGTAGTGGCCGGGCGCGGTGGCTCACACCTGTAATCCCAGCACTTTGGGAGGCCAAGGCAAGGGGATCGCGAGATCAGGAGTTCAAGACCAGCCTGGCCAAGATGGTGAAACCCTGTCTCTACTAAAAATACAAAAATTAGCTGGGTGCAGTCCCAGGTACCTGTAATCCTAGCTACTCAGGAGGCTGGGGCAGGAGAATCACTTGAACCTGGGAAGCAGAGGTCGCAGTGAGCTGAGATCGCATCACTGCACTCCAGCCTGCCAGAGCAAGACTCCATCTCAAAAAAAAAGAAAGAAAAGAACAGAAAAGAAAAGCATAAGGTAATGAGGCATGCTCTGATCCCAGCTAACAATGAGGTGATGCTGCCGCAGGGGAACGCCACAGCTCTGACCCCCCTCTGGGTCTCAGTTTCCCCAGCTGCAGTGAGGAAAATGGCCCCAGTGATTGCGCTCATGATGCCACCATCCTCTGCCCTCACGCATGCTGGGGTCTGCATTTGCCCATTGTCAAGCTTATGCCTGGCCTTTGTTCCTCACTCCTCACAACTGCCCTTGGCCGGGAATTTCACAGGGAGGAGCCAAGGCCCAGAGAGGGCACTGAATCTCTCCAGGTCACACAGCCTGTCAGGGAGGCAGGGTCAGAGCCAGGTCACAAGTGTGCACAGAACGCACGCGCACACACACACACACGCACATGCTCACGCTCACGCACAGACACACATGCACTCTCACGCACACACACACCTGCTCACACGGACACACAGGCACACAATGCTTTCGTGCACATGCATGCGCACACATGTACGCTCACACACGCCCACAGCGCACGTGCACACACATGCACGCACATGCACACACACTGTCGGGACTGGGGCTGCTGTTTCTGAGGGCTCCTGCAGGGGCTCTTGGCCCCCGTGCTGTTCCATAAACACACACTGAAATGCAGAAGCTGAAACCCGGCCAAGGGAAGTGAAACCTTCCAGCACCCCTCCTGCTGTCCTCCCCGGAGTTAGGGGACCAGCACCTCATGGCAGGAAGCACCCTGGCCCCCAGTAGCCCCCAAAATAGCTAGGTCTGCTGAGCAGGCCCTTCCTTCCTGAGAGGGCCCACACCAAGTCGGCAGGATCGCAGCCTTTGGCGGGCTGGGAGGCTACCAAGAAAGACCATGGCCTGGGACTCGTAAAGCAGCTTGGGGGGTGCCATGAGACCCCCTACCCCAAGCAAGGAGGGACCAGACCCAGGCCAACAGGCTCCTCTGCTGACTCCCTCTCCTGCCACCTGCTAGGGGCTCAGTCAAGTCGCCCAACCCCTGGAGCTTCAGTCCACACCTGGAAAACGGAGCCAGTGACAGCTGCCCCCAGGGCTGGGCCGGAGGCAGGGGTCAATGGCATGGCATGGCCCCCTAACGGCAGTCTCTGCCCTTCCCTTGCTGAGGCTCCAGATGCCAGGAGTGGTGGCCCCTGGAGGGGCTCATAGGGAGCCCTGGCCCGCTGGGTGCTCAGCCTCACACTCCATCTGCCCCTCTTGCCACCTCATCAAGGACCCAGCTGTCCTGATGGGAGCCAGGACGACAAGTCCTCTGTCCCGCAGTCCCCATGCTCTGAGCTTGCGGAGCCCTGGGTGTCGCGGCAGGAGAGCCAGGCCACACAGAATTGAGTGTGATCTGGGCAGCTTCTGAGAGGGGTCAGCCTGGAGCGTCCTGGCCACCCAGAGCCCCCCAGGCTGGTGGGTCTGGCATCTGCAGCACAGCTGGACTGTCCTCGGGAGACCCAGTGCGGTGGTGAAGAAGGCCTGGGATTGATGCCTGGGGGATGCTCCAGCTGAGGGTCCCAGCGCCTGGCATACAGCAGGCCCTGGCGAAGCGGCTTGCCTCACACCCCAGTGACCTCTGGACTGGCCTCAGCCTCTCTCAGCAGACAGCTGAGCCTGGTGGGACCCCTGCCTGTCCCTGGGGCTGAGTGCAGGGGACCTCACCTTCATCCTTCCCCTCTTTGCTCTTGAGAGGCAGCTGGAGGGGGTGGAGCCAGCTTGGATGCCCTGAGTGCCACCTGCAGCCCGCTCTAGGGCACTGTGTGCCCCTGGCCTGCCTGTCTCTAGGGCGGCTCTGTGTGCCTGTGGGCATCCGTCTGAACCTCAGTTTTCACATCTATAAAATGAGCCTCAGGGTCGTTTCTAAAACAGAGCAAACTGAGTCATCTGACTTATACTGTCCCGGAAAATGGCTGGGTTACCGAATCAGACATTTTGAAATTTTGCTGAAAGCAACAAAGAGCTGGAAAACTGGGGCTCCACGTGGCACCTGTGGGTAAGGGCGACTCAGGAGTGACCACAGCCCTCTGGGGGCCGAGGTGGTGAAGGAGGGGCAACTTGTCATCCTGGTGGCCACCAAGGTGCACCTCTTAGTAGTGTTAGAGGAGCGAAGGGCAGGGGCAGGAACTTGCCAGCAGGGCCTGGGCTCAATGGGCCGTGGCAGCACAAGCAGCAGAGAGGGGAGGGTGGGGCTGTGCCTGTGGAGCTGACCCTGGCACTCCAACCTTTGGCTGCTTGGATCTCAGCCCTTCCCATCCGCCCCCTGCTCTCTGCCAACTTGACACAAACACTTCCCCTCTGTGGATCTTCAGGCCCATAAATACCAGCCTGTCTGCCGGTTAGACACCAGCCAGGGTGCCCCGGGACGCTCCGCACCAGCAGGTAAGTGCCCCCTGCCCCAAGACCCCCGCACCAGCTCAGAGGAGCACACGGGAGAGGCAGGAAGGGCGGCAGTTGCCTAGAACCCAGACACACAACAGCGAACTCTGGTGACGCTTCTCTCTACTCCCCACGCCTCAGTTTCCCCGACTATAAAAAGGAGCAGAGCCCCTTTCCCGTAGGGAGTGTGCCTCGATGAACCCATCTTTCCGAATAACTGCACCCCGCTTCTCAGTTTAGGAAAAAGAAATTTCTTCTCTCCAAAGGAGCAGGAAAACTGTCTCCTCGGAGAAAGGGCCGCCGGGGTGCAGGTGGGACAGAGCTGAGACACCCCCAGCCGGCCACACCTCCCGGCAGGCAGCCGCCCTGCGGGGCTGGGACTCCTCAGCCCTCCCACCGCCATCCCCGCTCTGAGCCTGGGGCCCTGCCTCAGGGCCAGGGTCTCCCGAATATGCCCACCCCCAGGTGCCGCCTCACTCCAGCATGTGCTCACTGCCCCTGCCCCGGGAGCCCCTGCGCCGCGTGGCGGTGGCCGGGGGCACGCACGGCAACGAGCTGTCGGGCGTCTACCTGGTGCGGCACTGGCTGCTGGCCCCGGCAGAGCTGCAGAGACCCAGCTTCTCCGCAGTGCCGGTGCTGGCCAACCCCGCAGCCACCGCCGCCTGCCGCCGCTATGTGGACCGCGACCTCAACCGCACCTTCACCAGCACCTTCCTCAAGTAAGCGTCCTTGCCGCCAGGTTGGCACAGGCAGCTGGGCAGCGAGCCCCCACCGCACACCCTCCCCTCCAGCCACCAGCAGGGTCCTCCCTGCCTTCACTCCTGCTTCTCCTCTACCTGTGTGGCCCATTCCTCCGTGGGGACAAACTGAACACTTAGAGAAACCCAGATTGATGTCACCTCCTCCAGGAAGCCCTTCCTGACTGCAAGCTATGTCAGGACCTCCTCTGGGAATCCCAGACCCAGTGCTTCCTTCAGATTCGCCCCACGGGCCATGCTTACTTGTCATGTGCCCTGACCACTGTTCACTGCCGCCTTCCAAAGAGTAGTCACTGAGCTCCATCTCCAGACCAGGCTCTGGCCAGCTCAGGGGAGAGAAGGGGGAAGAGGACCAAGGTATTGGCTTCATGCTTAATGGGGACACAGAGGAAGAACTGGGCACCCATAACCCAGGAGGCTAAAGGCAGGCCCTGGGGCTACACAAAGCAGCTAACCTGGCCGAGAGCAGTCAGGGAAGGCTTCCTGGAGGCAGTGGTATCTCAGCCAAGCCCCAAAGACTGAGTAACACTAGCCAGGGGAAGAGAGGTGAGAGGGAGTTTCCAGCGGAGGGCCCAGCACAAACACAGGCCTGGGGGCGAGACCAGCACGGTGCTCAGGCAGTGTGGCTGGAGTGAGGGCATGAGAGGCAGGTGAGTGGGTAGGCAGGCCAGACTGAGGGCTTGGACTTTCACCGGGAAGTGCAGAGCCAAGAGGGCCATGCGCAGGGGCGGGCACAGCCACAAGGGCAGAGGGGCAAGCCTTGAGCTGCTCAGAGTGGCTCCTGCGGGCCCCTGCCCCTCGCGCCTTAAACCACTGAAGGCTGACTGAGGCTGGGGGGGCGGGCGTCCCCCATTCCCGTTCCCGCAGTTCCACGCCTACCCCGGACGACCCATACGAGGTGACGAGAGCCCGAGAGCTGAACCAGCTGCTGGGGCCCAAGGCCTCGGGCCGGGCCTTTGACTTTGTCCTTGACCTGCACAACACCACGGCCAACATGGGCACCTGCTTAATCGCAGAGTCCTCCCACGACGTCTTTGCCTTGCACCTGTGCCGCCATCTGCAGGTGGCCTCGGCCGAGCCTACGGCCCCCAGAGGGGAGAGGGAAGGAGGGCAGGGCGGGGCAAGGCCGAACCTCCTTTGATTAGTCCCTCTTCCCCGGGCTGAGTTCCCCTGAGTTCCAGTCTCCGGGGTCTGCCACCTGCCAGCACTGCAGGCCCCGGGCACCCCCTCCCCTGCCCTGCCAGAAGGGCAGAGGGAAACCTGGCCAAGGAGGGTGGTGCCCTGTGCTTCCTCCATGCCACGCCCCCCACCTGTTTCCCCTCCCATTTAGGCCTGGGCCCCTAACCCGCCTCTCTCGCCCCCAGCTGCAGTACCCCGAGCTGTCCTGCCAGGTCTTCCTGTACCAGCGGTCCGGGGAGGAGAGCCACAATCTGGACTCCGTGGCCAAAAACGGATTGGGTGGGCCGGGGCCTCCTGAGAAGTGGGCGGGGCCAGGAGGGCTGGGGGTGGGGCCATGCACCAAGGGGCGGGGCCTCCAAGGAGTTCGTGGGTCCTATTCCTGCCTCACCGCTTGCTTCCTGGTCCCCAGGTCTGGAGCTGGGCCCCCAGCCACAGGGTGTGCTGCGGGCTGACATTTTCTCCAGGATGAGGGCCCTGGTGGCCACAGTTCTGGACTTCATCGAACTCTTCAACCAGGGTGAGACCCCGGGGACTTGTGGGAAACAGCTCTCGGGAAGAGAAGGCCTGGCTCAGGGGCCGGGGAGCCAGGCTCACATGCAGGCTGAGATCCAGCCCTGAGGTCCCCCCACAGCCCACTCTGTCCCCTATCCTGGAGGGACGGATTGGCTCCCACACCCAGCCTCCCACACAGGCACAGCCTTTCCCGCCTTTGAGATGGAAGCCTATAGCCCCGTGGGCGTCACGGACTTCCCCCGCACTGCGGCTGGGGACCTGGCAGGCAGCGTGCATCCTCAGCTGCAGGTGTGTGTGTGTTTGTGGGGGGTGATTGCTGGGGCCACAGCCTTGGGGAGGAGGGTTGTCGAGGAAAACGGAGCCCCAGAGGGCACAGCCAAGCCTCCCACGAGCTCACCAGAACCTCTGGTTCAGGAGCAGAATGGGAGGCTGGGCTCCACCGTCCCACTTCCCCTGGCCCTGCTGCCTTCCCTGGAACCCCACACTCAGGCCTAGCACGAGAGGCCACATAGCTCCTGTGGAGGGCATGAGGGAGACAGCCCTACCTTGGCTGTAAAAGACAGAAGCAGGGGCTGTGGAGCAGGCATGACCCAATTCACCTGCTTGGAGGTGCAAGTACAGAACTCTCTTCTGATTTTAAATTGATTCCTCGAGCATCCCCATGCCTGTTGGCAGGTCATCCAAGGATCTCTCTCCAGGCCTTCCCTTCCTGAATGTTCCAGGATCGGGCAATTGTGCTTCCACGCCTGTCCCTTGGGTGGCTGACAAGAACCAACTGGCTGCTGCTCTGCTTGCTGCCACACGGGGTCGCTGTTGAATAGGGCCTGGTGCAGTCTTGTGGCCTTTTGTGCCCTGAAGTTTCATTTTGAGGGGTTACCTTCTTACAAATAGAGGCAGCACCATCCCGTCCATGTTTAGGGCTAGAGGGTCTTAACCCAGCCATGTTCAGCTAACTTGCAGATGTTAAGCAATAACAGTCAATTTGGGTGGCTCCTCCTACAATTTTAGAATTTATTTTGTTTATTATTATTTTTTGAGATGGAGTCTCACTTCATTATCCAGGCTGGAGTGCAATGGTGTGATCTCAACTCACCATGACCTCTGCCTCCCAGGTTCAAGTGATCTCCTGCCTCAGCCTCCCCAGTAGCTGGGATTACATGCATGTGCCAACATACCCAGCTAATTTTTGTATTTTTAGTAGAGACAGGGTTTCATCATGTCGGCCAGGCTGGTCTCGAACTCCTGACCTCAAGTGATCTGCCCACTTTGGCCTCCCAAAGTGCTGAGATTACAGGCATGAGCCACCATGCCTGGCCTTAAAATTTATTTAATAAAGTATCATATTGTACTTACTGTGTGCCAGACACTGCTTTAAACACTATTAGCCTGTTTGATTTAAACTTTAGAATGATAGAAGAAGATATTGTTATCCCTCTTGTACAGACGAGAAAGCTGAGGAACAGAGGTGAAGTGACTTGCTCACAGTCACACAGCTAGCAAGGATTTGAACTCTGGCTTCAATCCCTGTGCCCGTAACTATGAGGTTCCACTTCCACACTGGCATAGGTCTCCCCAAGGTGACTTGTGTCTTCATTTCTAGACACAGAGCAGATGGGTATCTCACCAGACCTGCCGTTATATGGATTGAGGAAGGGAAGGGTGGGTGGCAAAGGACATGAATAAGGGGCATCTTTTGGGTGCCAACCTGGGGTTGTCCCCTTCTGGGGCCAGGGCAGAGGTGGCCCCAGCAACCTTGGCCTTTGGCTCTCCTCCCAGGACCAAGACTTCCAGCCGCTGCAGCCCGGTGATCCCATCTTCCAAACGTTCAGCGGAGAGGACCTGCTCTATGAAGGGGAGTCCACGGTGTACCCCGTGTTCATTAACGAGGCTGCCTACTATGAGAAGGGCGTCGCCTTTGTCCAGACTGAAAAGTTGACATTCTCCGTGCCTGCCATGCCCGCGCCGACCCCTGCCCCTAGCCCAGCTTCCTAACCCAAGCCACGCCTCCCCAACCTGAGCCTTCCCATCTGAACCATGGGTCCTGAGGCACAGCTCCGAGCACGGAGGCCCCTTTTGTCACCGACCAGGCACCACGTTCCTTGCCAGGTCCCCCAACTCCTGGCCTCAGTTTCCTATTCTATAAAACGGAAAATGTCCAGGGGTCCATGGCTTTGTGTCCTGTCCTCACGGCTCCTCTCTGGCTGGGGAAGTGGATTGAAGGAGGGGAGGATTGGCCATAGGATCTGGGCAGGTCTGGCCGATACAGCCTTGGACATACAAATGTCTTGGGGCCAGCGGGGCTGCCTCTGTGCCCACAGCTGTCCATCCATGCCTAGGGGAGGATCCCAGAGTGCGGGAGGAGAACCCGGAGGAGGATTGCTCTGGAGCCAGCAGAGGGACTTCCAGAGGAGGCCACGACCCAGAGGGCACCCCCAACTCTCCTACAATCCTGGGGTCAGAGGCTGAGTGTGGGGACAGCAGAGCTGTGCCCGTGTCCGTGCACACGTGTGTGTTTGTCCACGCATGGCTGTGTGCTCCTGCTCTGTGCTGCTCTTTGGCATGTGTGTCTGTGTGTCTCCCACACACACGTGTTTCCAAGAGCATCAGCAGCTTGGGTGTTCTGAAGGGATCGTTCTGCGGCCAGCTGTGCATTTCTAAGTGTGTAATGAGCCCAGTGCCCGTGGTGGCTAAAGCGGGGAGTCAGGGCGGTGGGAAGGGCCACAGCAGGACAAGGCTGTCCCCACGCAGATTAGCCTGTCCAGTTGCAGAGACCCAGGGAGGAGGTGGCTTGGGTTGAGGCAGAGGGACTTCCCAGCTCTAACTGGGGAGCCACAACTTCCACCATCCCCAGGACACCGCACACTGGTGTCAGGTGAGCCAGCACGAGGCCTGCTGCTGAGAGCCCCTCTGTCCTGATGCTGGCACCCTTTGGGGTGTCATGGCAGGACAAATAGGCAGGGCTACATGTGACCTGGCCGCAGCCTCATTGCCCACAGCTGCCTGAGTCTAATGGGCTCTTGTTGGACAGCTGGGGCTGCTGGAGCCCAGAGTCCCCTCCCGGTGCCACTCCCCAAGCCCTCTACACGCCCGCCCGGCCCATCCATTTCCCTGCGGCCACGGCTGCCACGCCGCCTCCTGGTATTGAGCAGTGAGATGAGAAGGTGTGAAGGATATGAGGGCACCAGGGAGCAGCTGGCAGGCAAGATGGATGAGGGGCCAGGGGGCCAGTAGGCGCCTGGGGCAGGCAGGGCGGGCCAGCTGGGGAGGGGTGTGCAGGGAGGTGCGCCTGTGTGTGGTGTGGGCGTGTGGATGCCTGTGTCTGCACAGGCTGTGTGGTGGGTCCGTGTGCACAGAAGCTGTGAGCGTGCTCACCTGCGTGGCGAGTCAGCAGGCTCTGAGTTCATTCGCGTGTCTGCGTGCATGTGGATTAGCATGTCAGTGTGCTCGTGTGTGTGCGTGGGGGGGTGTTTTCCATCACACAGATCAAAATCGCACACACTCACGTATCAGGGGCCACGACAACCCCCAGCCTGGCCCTCCGCTGGGTGTCTCGGTGAAGGGGAGCCACCAGTACTGGAATGGATCCCCAACTCCCTCCATCATCTCCCCACTTCCCACCCCCCATGCTGTGGCCAGGGCAGCATGACCACGCCTTGTTGTTCACCCCCAAGGCGCTCTGGGACCCTCCATCTCACACAGACCACCCCCATCTTGCCTGGCAGCAACTCCAGAGCTGCTTGCTGGCAGCCTTCCCTGACACAGCTGGGCACGGGGTTGGTCCAGGGGCCAGCCCTCCTTCCTTTCTGTGCCCCCAGAGCCAGCCCAGCCTCTTCATGTGGGGTCCCATCCAGCTCTGCAGGCTGAGATCTGGGACACAGGAACTGAGTCACAGCCATCCCTGAACTGCAGGGAGGAGCCCCCAGAAAGTAGCGCTGAGGGAGAAACAGCCCCGCCACCCCCACAGCCCCTCCACGTCCCCTCTTAGGAATCAAGGCCACTGCCAACCCAGCATTCCCAAGACAGGATTCTGGAAGAGGTGTGCGGTGCTCCAGCCAGACGACCCCCTCTGGGCTGTTCACTAAGAGTCAAAGGCCAAAGAGTACTCTCAACCTAGGGACTGGCTGCAGCTCAGGGGGACTTGCCGACCTGCCTCCCCGTAGAGTGATCGGTGTGTCCCCTGAATCCCCCGAGTGCTTAGCACAGGCCGCAGACAGCCTGGAAGAGGGTGCCCGGCCAGGCCAGAGAGAACAGACAGACCCACAGGCAGAGCAGACGCCCGCTTCGCACCTGGACCAGCCTCCCCGTTGCCACTCAGCCCCAGATGGGGGCTACATGGGCACCATCAGTCAGGGCACCGCCCCCAGCTCCAGGCAGCTTGGGCTGACCACTCTCCAGGCTGGGCTAGAGCATCACAGGCAGGAGGGATGATGTGCTTAGGTCACCTGGAGAGACCGAGGCTGGAGGCTGGAGGGGCCGGCCAGCGTTGCACAGCTCCTTGAGTTCATCCGTGTGTCTGTGTGCTCGAGGGTCAGCATCTCTCAGGACTGGGCTTCCTGCCACCCAGTCTGGGGCTCTGTGCTGAACACACTCGCTGCTGCCCCCTGGCGTTTCCTGCTCACACTACCCCTGACAGCTGCACAGCTGCCGGCAGGCTGGGGCCAGCCTCAGGTCAGGGGTCTGGGTCTTGGTGGGAGGGCACCTCCTCCACCATTCAGCCTGGGATCTGCTGCTGCCACTCTGCCTCCTAACTCCCTGGGCCCTGTCGGCCCCAGCCCCTCCAGCCAGCCAGGCCTGGGCTCCTGCAGACGCCCACCCGTCCTCAAGAACCACCCTCCTACCGCCTCACCCCTGCCACGCCCGGGCCCATTGATCAGGAATGGCTGGGGGGCTCTCAGCTGGGGAAGGGACGGACCTGAAGAGGGAGGACGAGCAGGGAGGGGGACGCGGCCACGTCAGAACCTTCCCACCTGCCCTCCTCCCACACAGCCTGACAGCACAGCCTAACAGTGGGTTGGAGAAGGGCCTCTGCGTGCCCCAGAGCCGGAATCTCACCTTCGGAGACCAGGTCTCCAGCTCCAGTGGGAAGACCACAACCTCGGGACGTGGCGAAAGGGTGATCGGGGAAGCAAGGACAGTCCTGCCGAGAGGCCACCGCCTGCGTGAGCACCAGAGGGCTGGGCCGAGGTGCCGGGTGGTGACCACCCCTCCTGGCAGGCAGGGTCCCTTTGGGTGGCAGCCGCAGCCCAGCCGCCGCCAAGCAGTGTTTCTCCAGGAGCCGGACAGCTGCTCTGTCTCCATGGCAGGTAGGCTACGTGAAGCAGAGCGGGGCTCGTGGGTGGGCGGGGGTAACCAAGGCAGCCCTGCTGAACCCAGGCCCTGGGCAAGAGGGTGGGGCAGAGGCACCCCAGGCTAAGGACCGAGATTCCAGTGGGTCTCAGCTCACTGCAGCCTCCGCCCCCCAATCCGGGTTCAAGCGACTCTCGTGTCTCAGCCTCCTGAGTAGCTGGGATTACAGGCGCCTGCCAGCACTCCTGGCTAATTTTTATAGTTTTGGTAGAGATGGGGTTTCACCATGTTGGTCAGGCTGCTCTCAAACTCCTGACCTCAAGTGACCCGCCCGCGTTGGCCTCCCAAGGTGCTGGGATTACAGGCGTGAGCCACCGCGCCCTGCCCATCTTAACCATGTTCAAATGCACAGTTTTGTGGCATTAAGGACATTCACACTGTTGTGCAACCATCATTAGCGTCCACCTCGAGAACTTTTTGCATCTTGCAAAGCTGATACTCTGTCCTCATGAAAGGGCAACGCTCCACATCCTCCTCCCCAGCCCCGGCCGCCACCACTCTACCTTCCGTTTCCGTGAATCTGGCCCCCCCAGGTTCCGCCTATGAATGGAATCATACGGTATTTCTCTTTGTGTCTGGCTCACCTCACCTAGCGGCGGCTGCAAGGCTCAGCCATGGCGTAGCACGTGTCGGGATGCTCTCCCATGGACCCCATTCCCTTGCATGGATGACCCCCTTTTCATTCATCCTCCGATGGACACTGGGTTGCTTCTGCTTCTTAGCTATTGTGAATAACGCTGATATGAGCATGGGTGTGGAAATATTTGTGTGAGTTCCTTCTTTCAATTCTTTCTGGTATAGACCCAGAAGTGGAATTGCTGGATCATATGGTAATTCCAAGCTGGGCGTGGTGGCTCACGCCTGTAACCCCAGCACTTTGGGAGGCTGAGGCAGGCAAATCACGTGACGTCAGGAGTTTGAGACCAGGCTGAACTGACATAGTGAAACTCCGTCTCTAATAAAAATACAAAAATTAGCTGGGTGTGGTGGCGTGTGCCCGTAGTGCCAGCTACTGGGGCGGCTGAGGCAGGAGAATCGCTTGAACCCTGGAGGCAGAGGGTGCTACTGCACTCCAGCCTGGGTGACAGTGAGACTCTGTCTCAAAAAATAAAAAATTTAAAAAGGAAAGAAAAGAATGCAGAGACCAGAGAAAAAGACGTTAGGAGGGGCTTCCGGAGGCAGGCTTCTGCGCAGGCTGTCAGGGTCAGGGATGAGTAATTGGCACTGAATGGGGGACTCTTCTTGGCTCAGCTCTCCTGCAGCAGCAGCAGGCGGCAGGTCCCACAGAGCTCGGGGAGTCCCCGCCTCCCTTCCCACACATGTAATCATCTAGGAATAGGTGCTGTCTGTGAAGGGGCCCTGTGCACCAGCCCCCTGCGTGGTCACTAATCCTCACATTGGCCCAGAGAGGCAGGTATTTTAATTTTATTTTTAAAAATTTACCTACTTATTTTTAAGACAGAGTTTCACTTTGTCGCCGAGGCTGGAGGGCAATGGCACGATCTTGGCTCACTGTAACCTCCACCTCTTGGGTTCAAGCAATTCTCCTGTCTCAGCCTCCTGAGTACCTGGAATTACAGGCACCTGCCACTATGCCCGGCTAATTTTTGCATTTTTAGTAGAGATGGGGTTTCACCATGTCAGTAAGGCTGGTCTTGAACTCCTGACCTCAAGTGATCTGCCCGCCTTGGCCTCCCAAAGTGCTGGGATTACAGTCATGAGTCACTATGTCCAGCCGACGAAGGTATTAAGAACCTCTTCTGACAAATGTGGAAACTGAGGCTCCAGGAGGTGAAACATTTGCTTGAGGCTA